CTGTGCCATCATTTGATCACTGTCACGGTGACACCGCTGTCCCCATGTGAGGGTCAGAGAATCCTCTGCCATCCATCAGTCACTGTCACGGTGACACCGCTGTCCCCTGGGCCCAGTGGCTGGGAAATCCTCTGCCATCATTTGGTCACTGTCACGGTGTCACCAGTGCTTGGTCATTGTCACAGTGATACCGGTGTTTGGTCACTGTCATTGTCACCAGTGTGTGGTCACTGTCACCGGTGTTTGGTCACTGTCACAGTGACACCAGTGTTTGGTCACTATCACCAGTGTGTGGTCACTGTCACCAGTGTGTGGTCACTGTCACCGGTGTTTTGTCACTGTCACAGTGACACCGGTGTTTGGTCACTGTCACGGTGTCACAGCTGTCCCCCTCTGCCTCGTTGTTTTGGGAATAAAAAGGAGGAAAAAGGAATTTTCTCGTGGGAAAACAGGGAGGAATCACAGTGGGGTTGGAAGCTCCACATCCACTGAAAATCCCGCTGTGGGGGTGTTGGATTTCCAGTGGAATAAAAGATCCCAAATATCCCTAAATCCAATCATTTCACCCCAAAACATGGGGGAAACAGACTCCAGTAAAAATACCCCAAATTCCCGTGGTTTTTCCTTTTTTTTTTTCCTGGTGGGAGTGGGTGTTGCTGGTTCCATTGGTGGAGAGGCCTCGGGCTGTGGCTGCTGCTTTTATTTTCTTTCAGTTTGCCCAAAAAGTTGGGGTTTGTCCCAAATATTCCTGCTGCAGTCGATCCAACCGAGGGTCAGTTGGTTTGGGGTGAAAAAAGGGGTTAAAAGGTCACCGGGGCTCTGAGGGGTCCTGTCCCTTTTTGGAAGGGGGTACTGGCACGTCCCTGTCACCCTCGGGCCACCAAAGGGATCTCAGCGTCCCTGTCACCTGTCTGTGTGTGTGTCACCATCCAGGGACTTTAACAGGGTCACCTGTCCCCTGTCTTGCTGTGTGTCACCATCATGGTGGCCGTGGAGGAGCTGTGGCACAGCTGTCCCCGTCTCTGTCCTGTCCCTGTCCCCATCTTAGTCCCCATCCTGTCCCCATCTCTGTCCTGTTCTTGTTCCTGTCCCCATGTCTGTCTCCATCCTGTCCCTGTCCCCATCCCTTGTCCCCATCTTGGCCTTGTTCCCATCCTGTCCCCCTCCTGTCCCTGTCCCCATCCCTGTCCCCCTCCTGTCCCTGTCCCCATCCTGTCCCCGTCCCATGGCTGATGTCACCCTGTCCCCACCTTGCCCCTGTCCCCATCCCTGTCCCCTTCCTGACCCTGTCCCCATGCTGTCCCTGTCCCATGGCTGATGTCACCCTGTCCCTGTCCCCATGCTGTCCCCGTCCCATGGCTGATGTCACCGTGTCCCCATCTTGCCCCTGTCCCCATCCCTGTCCCCATTCCTGTCCCCATCCCTGTCCCCACGCTGTCCCTGTGCCATGGCTGATGTCACCGTGTCCCCACAGATGGTGACGAGGAGCTGCTGCGGGGCCTCGAGGGGGCCCTGGGGGTGAAGAAGAAGAAAAGGGGCCCCCGGAAACAGAAGGAAAACAAACCCGGGAAACCCCGGAAAAGGAAAAAACTGGTGAGTGCTCCTGGCTGTGCCCTGGGGCCTGCTGGGGGGACAGGTGACAGGGTCAGGGACAGGTGACAGGGTCAGGGACAGGTGACAGGGGCTGGGGACAATGGATGGGGTCAGGAACAGGTGACAGGGACAGGTGACAGGGTCAGGGACAGGTGACAGGGGCTAAGGACAATGGATGGGGTCAGGAACAGGTGACAGGGACAGGTGACAGGATCAGGGACAGGTGACAGGATCAGGGACAGGTGACGGGGTCTAGGGACAGTGATGGTATCTGGGGATGGATGACAGGTTCTGGGGACAGGTGACAGGCCCTTAGGGACAGGTGACAGGATCCTGGTGTGGCTCAGGTGTCTCAGGGTCGCTGACAGGTTTCGGGGTGTTTTTGGGGTGTTTTTGGGTGTTTTTGGGGTGTTTTGGATGCCCCAGGTGAGCGAGGATGAGCTGGAGTCAGAACGGGATGAGCACCCACATGAAGAGTATGGGGATGGGGGGGTCCTGGTGTGGCTCAGGTGTCTCAGGGTCGCTGACAGGTTTTGGGGTGTTTTTGGGCTGTTTTTGGAGTGTTTTTGGGGTGTTTTGGGTACCCCAGGTGATGAGGATGAGCTGGCATCAGAACAGGACAAGACCCCGCATGAGGAGTACCGGCATGGGGGGGTCCTGGTGTGGCTCAGGGGTTCCTGGTGTGACTCAGGTGTCTCAGGGTCACTGACAGGTTTTGGGGGGTTTTTGGGGTGCCCCAGGTGAGCGAGGATGAGCTGGAATCAGAACGGGATGATTACCCACGCGAGGAGTACCGGGAGAAGTCGGAGAGCGGCGGCAGCGACTCGGGCGGGGCCACGCGGAAGCGGCGGCGGAAGCACCGCGAGAAGAAGGAGAAGAAAACCAAGAGGAGGAAAAAGGCCGATGATGAGGGGGGGCAGAAGGTCAAGGTGCGGCCAAGGGGGGTCACCCCGGGGTGGGGGGCACTGGGGGCTCCCCCCAGTTCTGTCCTGTGCAGGGAACTGGGGGTTCTGTGGGGTCCTGACAGCTGGGGGGGGTTCTGTCACTGTGTGGGGTCCCCATGGGGGTCCCAGCACCTTTGGGGGGTTCTGTCACTGTGTGGGGTCCCCATGGGGGTCCTGACACCTGTGTGGGGTCCTGGGGGGGTCCCAGCACCTTTGTGGGGGGCTCTGTCACCTGTATGGGGTCCCATGGGGGGGTTCTATCACCTATGTAGGTGCCCATGGGGCTCCCATCACTGTGCAGGTCCCTGTGGTGATCCCAAAACCCTTTGGGGTATCCATGGGGGTCCCATTTCCCCTCTGGTCCTCTTGGGGGTCCCATCACCCACGTTGGCACCTACAGGTGTCCCGACAGGTGACGTGTTTGCTTCTCCTCCTCTCTGTCCCTGTTCCCTGTCCTGGTGTCGCCCTCTGGTGTCCCCCTGGTGTCCTCTCATGTCCCTCTGGTGTCCCTGTGTCCCTCTGGTGTCCCTGTGTCCCCCTGGTGTCCTCTAATGTCCCTCTGGTGTCCCTGTGTCCCTCTGGTGTTCTCTCATGTCCCTCTGGTGTCCCCCTGGTGTCCCCCCGTGTCCCCCGTGTCCCCCGTGTCCCCCGTGTCCCCAGCAGGCGGTGGAGCAGAAATCCTCGGCGCAGCTGCTGGGGGCCTGGGGGCTGGAGGACGTTGACCACGTGTTCACCGAGGAGGATTATCACACCCTCACCAACTACAAGGCCTTCAGCCAGTTCATGAGGTGGGGCTGGGGGCACCCCTGGGGGGTCCCTCTGGGTGTCTGGGGGGTCCTGGAGGGTCCCTCTGAGTGTTTAGGGGGCACCTCAGGGCTCCTGAGGGTCCCTATGGGTGTTCGGGGGGCACCCTGGATGTCCTGAGGGTCCCTATGGGTGTTTGGGGGGTCCTGAGGGTCCCTCTGGCTGCAGGGGGGCACCTCAGAGTTTTGGGAGGATCCTGAGTGACCATGGGGATCCTCAGTGACCCCTGGGCCATCCCGGGATCCTCAGTGATCCCAGAGATCCTCAGTGACCCCAGGGATCCTCAGTGACCCCTGGGCCATCCCGGGATCCTCAGTGACCCCTGGGCCATCCCAGGATCCTGAGTGACCCCGGGGATCCTCAGTGACCCCTGGACCATCCCGGGATCCTCAGTGACCCCAGAGATCCTCAGTGACCCCTGGGCCATCTCGGGATCCTCAGTGACCCCAGAGATCCTCAGTGACCCCTGGGCCATCCCGGGATCCTCAGTGACCCCAGAGATCCTCAGTGACCCCGGGGATCCTCAGTGACCCCTGGGCCATCCCAGCACACTCTGTGACCACCAAAGGCCCAGAGCTCTTCTCTCCCCACTGACCCCACCACCCCACAGCGCATCCCGAACCTCCCCCTTTGAACCTTTGAACCCCCATCCCACCTTCCCCCCCACCTTTTTGCTTTTACAGGCCCCTGATCGCCAAGAAGAACCCCAAAATCCCCATGTCCAAGATGATGACCATCCTGGGGGCCAAGTGGAGGGAGTTCAGCGCCAACAACCCCTTCAAGGGCTCGGCCGCCGCCGTGGCCGCGGCTGCAGCAGCCGCAGCGGCCGCAGTGGCCGAGCAGGTGTCGGCTGCCGTGGCCGCCGTGGCCCCCGAGGCTCCGCCCCCGCCCCTGCGCAAGGCCAAGACCAAGGAGGGCAAAGGTTGGGACCCCTCCCCACCCTCGGGGGGGTTGGGTTTTATTTGGGGGGTAACACCTTCTGGGGTGTCCTGTGGGTTGTTGGATTTTTGTGGGTTTGGGGGAGTTAGTGGGGGTGGGGGTTTGGGGGTCGCTGGGGGAGTTTGGGGAGGGTTTGGAGGAGGATCCTGAGAGATTTTGGGGGGTGCTTGGAGGGGGGAGTTGAGGGGTCACTCTTGGGGGTTGGGAGTCACTGTGTGATTTTGGGGGTCCCTGTGGGAGTTTGGAAGTACCTGGGGGATTTGGGTGTTCCTGGGGTGGTTTGGGGGTCCTTGGGATGGTTTGGGG